CTCGCGGGGGACGGACGCCACTCGCAGGAGCCGAGGAGGGCCAGCCGAGCTCGAAGTTCCCGGCCAGAAAGAGTCCTTTGCCTGGACAGCCCCGGCCTGGAGTCTGAGGTCGCAGCCGTGCGCCCGCAGCTGCGGTGGTCGCGGAGGAGCAGCTGTATCACTGAGCAGCGTGTGGGAGCTGCAGCTTGACGGCGGTAGCTGGAGGAGCAGCCGACAGCGGACACAGCTGCCCCGTGCGTCGGGGTCCAGGATCGTGCTTCCCCTGCCTGAACCACAGCGGGATGGCCCGCTGACCTCGGCCATGCAGGCTTGAGCGGACGCCCAGGGCGCGCAGGGGACAACCGCGGGCTCAGGCTGCAGCACTCCGCCGCTGACTTCCCAGCCCAGCGGACTGAGAAGCCGCTTACCATGGAGCCCGTGACCAAGTGGAGCCCCAAACAAGTGGTGGACTGGACTAGAGGTGAGCGGGCCGTGGAGGACCTCCCCCCCCCCCCCGGCGTCCGGCAGCCAGGGAGATGGGGCGGGCCAAGAGTTGGGCACTGGGGTGCTTGGCCCCTCCTGCGGGCGACAAAGCAAACTTCTGCCGAGCGGCCTGTGCGCCCCTATCTGTTGCTCCTGCTCCGAGCGGTTCCTGTCGGTGGGGGTGCGCCGGACCGGACACCCATATTTAAGCCAGGGAACCGTGGTGTGGCCTTTCCATGAGGGCATGCGGGACTAGGGGATTTGGCGCCAGGGCACTCTCTCTGCCCTGCTCGGGTACCGTGCCTGCGACTTGCTGCCTGTCGCCAAGCACAGACACAAGGCGTCTTTGTGTGGGTGATTGCCGCTGGATCTAGTAAAGGTTGCGGGCCCGGAGCAGTCTGCGGGCGTGACCGGGCGGGCGGTTAGGCAGGTAGACTAAGGAGACTCCCGCGGCCAGTCCAGCCTGTCTGTTTGGGTTGGAGAGGGCGAGCATTGGCTTTCTTGCCGGAGAGATTCCCAGTGCCAGGACTCCCGCAGAGGCAGGGACTCGACTCTGGAAGCGTCAAGACCCCCGGCGGCGCAGCATTTTGAGGCCAGGTTAGCCCCGAGAGAGAGCGCAGTGTCTGGAACTACAGTTCTTTCTGTACCGTGCTCGGGAAGAGGAAACCGAGTGGGTGCTGGGCAGTACAGCTGGAGTGGAAGGGTCCCAGTTACTTTCTCGTTTCTCTCATGGTTACTAGGGACAGTTGCCAGAGGGGGCTCAACTAACTCCTTGTCTCTTCCAACAAAACAGAGACCACTGAAATCAACCAGTGGGTGCTAGGGGTCCCACCTCTTCAGGTCAGCATTTGTTTGAAGTTACTTTCCTTCCCCTCCTTCTATTTGGTCTTCCAGGTGAGGAGTGGCACCCTTTCTCAGCAGCAGTTACTGGAGTCGTAGAGTGCTTCACACTTGACCAAGTGCTCTCTCTGTCTTTGCTTTTTTGTTCATCCCAGTAGACATGAGAAGTAGGTGATGCTTATGCGTTCAGATCATCTTTCAAAGTGCCCTGCCCATGGCTGTGCCACAATGGAAACTCCTCCTGTTGTTTCTCATGCCAGTATCTCATGTAGGCCACTGGAAGGGGATGTCCTGGTAATGCAGTGTCTGGTGTGTGTCTGATGGTTCTCCTGACTTCTTAGGAGGGAGGGCATAGCATACTTTGTGAGGAAGTAGTTCTCCTAGTGGCCAGAATTTCCAGGACTCTGAAGTAAAGCTGTGGTGAAGAGAGTGACTACACTGGCCTTGGTGGCTCTGCCAGGGTGAGCAGTAAAACCACAGCGTTAGCAGCAGTAGTCTTAAAAGTTATTTTAAGCCCTTTCCCTTAACATGAAGTGTAACTGGTACTGCAGACAGTACCAGGCGCCCGGTTAGCGTGCTGAGTCGGTGCAGATGGCAGTTCCCGCTGATCTCAATTGGTGTGTGCTACGTATACAACACACCTACCTGTGTTTGAAGACAGCATGAAGAAGGAATAGAAATGTTAACAACTTTCATATTTATTACATATCGACATGATGGTGTTTTGCATAAAATTTACTACTAAAATGAATGCCAGCCGCTTCCTTTTTAATTTTCTTAGTTAAGGCCTCTATGGTTTTACGGTGACTTGGCTAATGCGGTGGCTCACATTCTATCTCAGTTGTATGGTACTGTTCTAGGGTGTGACTCTGGCTTGCCTGTGCCCGTGCCTGCCTACTTGATAATGTACAACCAGAGGGTGATGAAGTAAGATATTCACACCCTCAATATAGATAGATGGACCCTTCTCCCCTTCTTTTTTCCCCTCCATCCTTTCTTAGGATGGGGAGAAAAATGTTAAGTTGCATACTATTATTTTTATTTATTTATTTGTTTATTTTGGTTTTTCGAGACAGGGTTTCTCTGTGGCTTTGGAGGCTGTCCTGGAACTAGCTCTTATAGACCTGGCTGGTCTCAATCTCACAGAGATCCCCTGTCTCTGCCTCGGCAGTGCTGGGATTAAAGGCGTGTGCCACCAACGCCCGGCTTTATTATTATTATTATTATTATTATCATCATCATCATCATCATCATCATCATCATCATCATCATCATTGATTTAAAAGGAAGAAAGTTAAAGCATGTTTTGGGGAATCTGGCCTTTGGCCTTATGGCTTGGTTGAGGTTGCTTTCATCTAGAAAAAGTTTTGTGTTGCCCTTAAATGAGCAGCTGTTCATGGCTCAAGACCCTTGATGCTTGCTTATCAGCTTAAATACCTGTGCTGGCACTTGGCAGCATCCTACAAATTCTGTGCCCTTTGTGTGCTTTAGAGTCTCATCGAAAGACCTAGATACTTTCTGTGTTAGAATCTTAAAAAAACAAAAAAAAAGGATAAAAGGTGGAAATACTTGCCTAACTCTTGGATGGCAAGGGGCCATGTTCTTGAAGATTGCATGGCATGTTAAGTGAAGATTTCTTGCTATAATGTCTCACAGGTATGACTTTTTAATAAACAATTGACATATGCTACTTGTTTGCTTTGGGGCTATTTTTAGCTGTCTTTGCTAGTCTCTTTGTAAATACATCCCCATGACAAGTAGCTTTTCACATGGATGTTGCCACTCTTGATGGTGTGTGACCCTGAGTGTGGCAGTTATGAGCACTGTGAAAAACACTATCTAACTCAGCCACATCTACAGCTTGGGTTTATGTCAATATTACAGATTCATGTTAAGAAAGAATGCAGTGTGCTGAATAAACACACCCATCTGGCTTTTATTATTAACTTTGGCTACACCATTACTAGTTTCACCATGATATGGATAGATGCCTGGTAAATATTAACAGTCTCAGGCACAGGGATAGGTATCGTACAAGTATCAAGTCATTGTAATATGCACAACTACCATTGAGGCAGGAACTGTTATTCCATTTTGCACTTGAGGAAACTGAGGTGCAGAGAAGCTAAATACCTTTACAGGTGTCACCAGGCCAGTTGGTGTGCAGTATTTGACCCAAATAGTTAGATGTTGTTTCATTCAATTTTCTCAGGATTTTCTTCCCAAGGCAGTGCATAGTTACACGGAGACTCTAAAGCACACTTAGGAGTAGCCTCACAGTATTCTCATGATATAAAGTATTAATATTGTGTGTTGGTGGAAGAGAACCATTCAGCATATATGTATTTTATTCTACATGGTCTTTGTATGTCAAAAAGTTGTGTATACATGAGATGAATTCTTAGTTCATTGCACCTGTCCAACCAAACACCTTGGTTAAAGGCTTTTGCAAATTTTGTGACATGTCCAGGCAGCCACCTACCAGAAGAACCAATGCATTAAGCAAGTGTGAGTTTTAATTTTCTCTTGTACAAGAGTCTGAGGTTGGATAGCCCAGGGGCTCCTGCCACCTGCTCTCATGTGATGTCTGTGTGGCCTAGCATATGGTGTAACTCTTCAGTGTAGATGGCTGTTCTGTCCCAATGACAGCCAAGGCTCCCCCTTTTAAAAAGTTTCCTGTGAAACCTGTTCAAGTCACGGGGTCTCCATCGCAGTTGTCAGAATGGCTACATGACCACTTCAGGCTGGAGAGGGAACAGGTCACTGTAGATTGCTTTCTGTGTATGTGTGGTGCTGGGCAAGCACTCTACCACTGTCACACTTTCAGCACCTAGCTGGGTACATGGTGGCCTTGAAACAGTTGGAAGATGGTCAGGAAGGAAGAAAGCCTAGGGATTGATAGGCAGCCTGAGTATTGAACATGAAATGTGGACCTGTGATGGTCAAAGATGTATTTCAAGTACGCTGCAAGCCTGCTCTGCTGTGGAAATAGTGCCATGTTTTCATTTCCCTTTAGTAACCTTAGGTCAAACCTTAATGCATTTCTGCTTTCACACTGTTGGGCAATGTGTTCAAGAAGGAAGGCACTGCTTTGTCCGGGTCCCTGTCCCTCTCTTGGCTGTCATCAGCTAGAACTGGCAGCTCTGAGTCAGTATGATAGATGCTGAGTGAACTTTGCTGCCAGAAGCCTCCTGCTGGCCTCCGGATGGGGCATCCACAGCATCAGTCACTGTCTCCATCTCCATCAGACAGTGACAGGGCCTTTTCCTTCCAAGGCTGAGCATGGGAGGCATTTGCCTGCCATTTGTTCTTTCCTTGGAATGCCTGACCATCCGTAAGGGGCCTCACTGTGTGCTCATAGAGGGGCTGGTGGGTTTCACAGAGTAGGTCAACTAGAGTGTGCTACCTCACATTGTTGGGCACCATCGTCACTCCTTCCTGCAGTATATGGGGGTCAGGCTTTTGCAGTTCTGGTTCCGGTTGAGGGCGTACCTTTCCTTTTGGCCTCTGTGGTCACTGGAATGGGGAGGGTCTCAGGAGCTGTAGGGTCACAATTTTATCGTAGGTCCAGAAACTTCTTCCTGCAGACTCCCCCCTCCTCCCCTGGCTCTGTTTCCTGGGCTTCAGCATTAACTTTTTCTTAATTACCATTTTGGAAAAACATGAAATGAAGCATTTATTATGTGGTAGGTGCTGTTTCAAGAGCTTGCTTTAGATATACTCCTTTGAATCCACAGAAAACCCAAGCAGAAAGGTAGGTTCCATTGTGAGCCCATATGAAAGGAACGGAGGCGGGAAGAAGGTTTGCTCAGGGTCATGGGTTTACAAGCTGTGTGTGCTTTGAAGCCTTCCTATAGCTCTTCATCTCCATGATGCCTCATGCCAGTTAGAGGAGCTGAGTGGCTGGGAGCGTGGGCACCACAGTCAGCTCAGTCGGCATCCTGGTTTGCCTCTGACTGTGATCTTATGTAAGTGCTCCATAAGTTTTTTGTGTTTTTTTTTTTTTTTTTTTTTTTTTTTTTTTTATTGCTTCCTTCCCTTTATCCTATAGCTTCAGGTCATGATTCTCCGAGCAGTGAGGTCTCATAAGATGGATTTTAACCATACAGAGCACTGGTCTCTGCTGGAGAGGTTTCTCTGCCAGCTGCCAGCCAGCCA